ATGGACTATACAATTCTAAAGATTATGAAGACAGTTTTCGTACATTAGAATGTTCCTTGGAAAACAATAATAAGACTTTTATATATAATATATAATATATATAAAATATATATTTATATATAACGAAATATTCAGCTATTGCAAAGGCATTTGTGTTGGCGTGTTACGCATAATTAAAAACATTGTAAAAGTTATAATTTCCTCTTAGCCAAGGAATAAATCTCCGATTTTATGGCATTTAAGTGCCGTCCTAGTCTTAATCCTAATGTGTTCCTATATTTACGCAATGTGTAACTACTACACTATTTTCTTAACTTCTATCTTATTGAAGGAGGATTATATGATAAAATATAAAGGTAGTCGTAATCGTAAAGTTTTCCTATGTTTACGCAATGTGTAACTACTACACTATTTTCTAATCTTCTATCTTATTGAAGGAGGATCATATGATAAAATATAAAGGAAGTCGTAATCGTAATGTTTTCCTATGTTTATGTGATGTGTAACTACTACACTACCTTCTTAACTCTTATCTTATTTAAGGAGGATCATATGATAAAATAGGTATGATACAGTATGAAACAATTGAACATTAGTTAATAATTGCATAGTTTTCAATTTGACAAAGATGTATTTAAATATACATTCCTTATACTAAAGACAAATTGAAGTTGATCATGACACGTAAAATTTTACTGGGACAAATTAAAAGAAATCATAGTAAACAACTTTATATCGTTTTGATAGAAAGGTTTTTGCTAGTTGAATAATATATGATAAAAGCAACAAGTGAACAAATGAAAATGAAGAAAACAATAACAACAGCAGAACAGCAAAAAATCAAAATGAATGTCAGTTATTATAAAATTCAATGTAATATTTCTTTCTTTTAATCAAATTAAAAGAATGTCTCTAAAATAAATATAGCCTGTTGATATATTTATATGTTCCTATTTTATAGTCTCATAAACTTGACTTTTCACAAGTTCTTTAGAAGGAGCAAGCAAATGGCTATTGAATAACGTTACATATAAGCTAAGTATTTACTACATAATGTTAGATCTTGTTAATGGCATAGAATACATGTACATAGCGATTTCCTTTATACTATTAATGTATATGTTAATAGCTGAAGCAACGTTGACAATTGATACGAAAAAGCGGGTCTGATCTTTGTAAAATAATAATGAAATACTACGTGATGTTGAAAAGGAAATTCCGCAATATTAAGGAATTGTCATTTTATGCAGCGTAAGAATATGTTACAGTTGTATTTTATATTCTAAATACGTAAGACCTTCGGATAAATTTAAAATACCATAAAGGATGGAGCAAAGATCAGATGCGATATTAAAATACATCTTATTCTTGATATTTACGAAGCTGAAAATGCTATTGGCCTTTAAGTCAGATGTTATGATTTTGTACTTTTGTATGATAAAGTTTTACACTTATGTCCTGTTTAATTTTCGCAGCACACATACAATTAACTTATTTACTACAAAAAGTATCTGTATTTCTAATATTTCGCAGACTTAATGTTTCCTTTCATTCAATATTTAGCTCTTGGTAGGCCGTTAAATTGATTAATGTCTAGTGTAATTTACCGAACATATTCTTATAAACTATATAATAGATATTTTCATTTTGTATTTTCTTGGGGAAAACGTTATTTAATAGTACAGTGGATATTTAAAGCTAGAAAAGGAGACCCAAGAGAGATAGAAGCGAAAAAAGTATTTTAGGTTTCTGTCTTAAAGCAAATTTTGACACTTTGTCTAATTCAAACGAAGAAGGAGGACGAATGTTTGAATTAATGACCTAGTTAATTAACACTATCATAAATCTAAACTTATCGACAATAGGATGAAAATAGACAAATAGGATTTCTTTTTTTTTCTTGTATTATTTTCTAAATAATGTAATCCGCCAATATTTTCCACGTAGTTTTAAATTATTATTGTTATTATTATATATACTTTCATCAGCTTATTATTATATATGTTTAAGTTTATTGAGTACAAATTTACTTTTAGCAAAATATTAAGGTTTGGGAAGTAAGTGGTTCTGTACAATTTGTTTTTATCAATATTAGAAAAAAGATTATCAAAATTAAACTGTTTAAACGATAAGTGGAATATAGTTATAATGCAGTTTTACATTTTCATTACAAACATTGTAATAGTTACTGTCGACCAGGATGACAGCCTTTGTTTACATAGCAAAGATAAATAACAATGCCAAAATAGGTAAGGCAGACTGAAGTCTAATAAATAAAACGCAACTTAAAATGTCATATTTTCATGTGCATGGCAGGGCGTCCGAGTCAGTGTTGTATTCATAGATTTACATTATCAAATCATGGTTAGGTACAATTACATATGGGTGTTTTTACTTATCGTATTCTTAATTTCAAATAGTTTCAAATGCATGGAATAGAACATTTTTGTACACAGGTTGATATGTACTTGTGTAAAAAAGTTTTAGGAAAACGTCAAACATCAAAGTGCCATATATACTATGGGAAATAATTCATAGATCAGGTCTTAACAGTAAATTTCTGCAAAGCAGTAAAAACTTGCCCCTATAGAGATTTTAAAATGAGGGTGTCCCGAATAAAGGTTTTTGGGAATACATCATCCCTTTTTCCCTTCTAAAATTTTTCACAAGGAAAAGGTTTTTAAAATGCGATGTAAAAGTGCATTATTAGAGATATAAAAAAACAACGAAATATTGTGTGTTATATATTGATCCATATATTCGAATTATGAATATTTCGTATCAAATAATTTGATTTTCAAAATGAAATAAAAAAGAAACCAAAAAAAAAAAGAAAGGAAGGGTAGTAAATGGAATTTAGATGAACAAAATATATTCAAACGAACGACAAAGTAAATATAAAAGGGAGAAAAACAATAATTTAATTGTATCTTATATTGTAACTGGCAGACAAATAAAATCGGTAGTAGTGTTTAGATTTTCTAAATCTTAATCTAATTAAATCATACAACCAGCGTATCAAAAGTTGATCTACATCACTATTACTAAGAGCGTATATTATTCTTTCAATTATCACTTCAAAATAACTAAGTATAACACTCATCGGCGTTAAATTGACTGAGTATTTTTATAGGTCATTTATAATTCATCAAAACGTTATCCTTCAATGATTTTGTAATCATATATAAATCGAACGACAATGATGAATTGTCCCAATTGAGAATTGTAATAATAATAACAACCCTAGAATACTTCATTAGAAAAAATGTCAGACAATGGTGTTATGTCGTTTATTCTAACGCGCAATGCGTATCTAATCGGAGTATGAATGCATTAGATTAAATTAAACTTGAAAACACTTTGTCTGCTCGAAAAATTGTATTAATATATCTTTAAATGATTTCCCTCCCAAGCTTAACTTGAAATGGGTGAGGTTGAACGTCATTTGAAAACAACTACAAAAATGTTCATGCATGAAAATAATCATCAAGCCTGGAAAAAGCAAATTGGAGACTTCACGTTTTTTGTTAATATTAAATAAATGGAAAATTCAATAATGCGAATGCGGTTTAAACTGCTTTACAATCATTCATTGCCAATTATTTGAGAAATATTTACTAGCATCATTGGATACTGAACATAGCATAACTGAGCAAACACATAATGAGATTGTAGAAATCAAAATTGAAAACTTAAACCAGAAAAGATAATTCAAAGTATCCCTTGGTAGTTGAACGGATATACCAGGTCCTGTGAATTCATAATTTAGGCTAACGAAGTGATAAAAATACATCATAATTTTTAGCTTAATAAAGATGTCACTAAATTACTAGATTGTTTTAATTGTGTGGTAATAACTTTATGAACATTGTGTTATTCTCTTTTGTCAGTTGGTTCTCAACCATTCTGAAACGTCATAGATAGCTATGATTTGGTCACGCTGTATGACTGATGAAGTTCATGGATGATAATTGTTGTCTTGTTTCTTTATTGCGAAGATTTCAAGCTAGATAATTAAATGGCAGTGACTCAATGTTGCTGTTTACATGCTATTGGTATACTGTTTTTTCTTATACAACAACCAAAATGTCATTTTAGATTAAATGATTTTGATAATATTTATGTGACTTAGAACCTGGTAACAAAATTGTGAATACTCGCATATAGTGACATAAAAACACTGGGAAACTGAGGAATAGTTCTTATGACTTGCCGTTCAAATTCCACAGGCCAATTTATTTAACAGGCCGGCAATTATTATATTTCAATTTGTATAAGTACAGTAGAAACGAAGAACTGAAAATAGATTCCATATCTATATTGCACAAAATAACACAATTTCATTCAATATGTCATTCACACTCAAACACTCATGTGCATCTTTAAATACTCTTTGAATTTGCTTGAATACATATTCTGCTCTAACTTAATATGAGTATGTAGATATCCAAAGCAGTTCGCTGTCACTGTCCGTAAGAAATGTTACATATACATTGTATCTTAAAATTGAGACAATCATCTAGAACAACCATACTGCTGGAAGAAACTTTGTATAATCATACTTGCAATGTAAATGATGTCTGGTTAGATCAGATCTACTGAGAATACTGGAATATTTTACATGATTATTTTTCCAGATAAAGGCCATTGATTCTGAATTTCGGCGATTTTGTTTAAGTTCTTTTTAAGGTTTATGCATTACATGTATTGACAATGAAATATAACACTTTTAAATGTCTAACAATCGACCATGTATCTATTCGATCACATGCGTGAGTCCAAGTTTTCCATTCCGATCGCTTTCTATGATTACCTTTTCCCTTCGATTTACATCATAGATCATAGTTCTAATTATCTGGCGGCCGACATTTAGTAATGTGATTATAGCAATGTCTAAAGTTTCTACAACCTTTTATCGAAGGTGTAATACGATACGTTCTTAACGTCTATCTTTTGTCATCGAATGACCATGAATCAAATATGCACATTCAAGACAACTCGCTTGGTGATAAATGAGAAATTAGAAAGTAAATGTAATTACGTTAATTAGTAGTATTGATCATAGGTTAATGAAGTATTTTTCTGAATACTTTCTCACTAGAGCTTGTAGCAGCAGTATTGGGTTTTATAAAGAGGGCTATATCTGATGCTGAGTTTCTAGGTAATCATTAAAGTCTGTGATTCTGGACAGACTGGCTGTTCTACAGGAAGATAAATTATTCATGACAACATTGTACAAGGATTTATTTTATGGATGATTATTGCGTATGTTTGGTAGGTACATGTCTACGCTTTTTTTTTGTTAATTAGAAAACTATTTTTTAGTATCTCATTCTTGTGTTTTAAACTATTTTATACTATTTTCACAATGTAAATTTATAAATTTATACTTTGATGCTTTTGCAGTAATGATTGAGAAAGAATTGAATTCACAAACAACACCTTTTTTATTGACTTATCCTTATCGTTACATTTTGATTCTAGAAATTCTGTTCTTGAAAATTTATCTGTAAAAAATTAAATATATATCAATGTTTTTTTTAGTTTGAAATTACTGAAACAATATGCAAAGGTATGTGTACAAATGAAATATGTAAATCTGCAAATGAGTGACTTTTATTTCGTATTAATACTTGTCTACGAAGAATGTCGGATTCATGTACACTATCATCTGTCAGCTTTTATGCTCTTCTGATTTAATGTTTATGATAATATATCATGAGCAACAATTTTATATTTCAAAATATAAAAAGATATTTTGCTGATGTATTATGAAAAATTCAAGGTAAGTATATTCATTTCCTTTAAGTATTTTCATAAACTGTATAATGAACGTTCTTTCCTTATTCAGTGAAACAATTGAATCATCTGGAGTCAATATTAATATATTTGTTTACCAAGTATTTCACACAATGTTACATATATATTTGAGTGAGAAAATTAAAAAAAGATCATGAAACGAAAAACACATTAACAGGGACTATAAATTGTAAAGGCCCAATATGCCCGCCCCAAAGCTTTTCTAATTTTATTTCACAAAACATTTTTATTTTTGGTGTACATTTTATAATTTCCAGAAAGTTACTCATTTGCCATTTTTTTCGAAACATCATTTCCTTCTGTTTGTTTGGCAATTAGTATAGATACAGTGATTTAGTATTTTGTATGGAAGTCAAAAAACACTTTTTTATATTTTGCTAATTTTATGACAAATATTTCACATTTAGCGATACTTTCTTGAGGTAACAAGCATGTACCGTGCTCTTAAACCATATTTTAACATGCGCTAAAACCATATTTTAACATTTATGTTAAAAAACTCACGATTAAAAAAAGTTAAAAAGCTTTCGTTTCTTAAAGATAATGTGCCATTAATGCAAATAATTAAACATAAAGAATACTGTCTTAAAAATATACATGTATATCACAGTATGAAATAACTAAATCAAATCAACATTATAACGATTATCACTAGTTAAAAGAAAAACTGTTTATTTTTAGAAAACCAATTGTAAATTTATACACATCTTTTTGATAAATAGGATTCATGTGGTAATGAACAACATAATTATGTTTGTGATGTTATGTTATGATATATGGGATATATGCGATATTGATTTATCTATAATCAAACATATTAGAGGAATATTCTTGTAGACGGCTGTTCAGGGCTATTATTTATTTATTTATTTTTACTTATTTATTTATTTATTTATAGTCGAATGTAAAAGATGATCACAAAGTTAAGACTTTTAATTTAAAATTAAGAAATTTTTGAAAAAAAAAACACAACCAAAAAACAACAACAAACAAACATAAGCAACAACAACAACAAAAAACGACACATCTGTAAGAAGTCTAATAATAATTGGCAATAATCTTGACATTCTGGTGAAATTATTGATAAATTATGAATAAACTGTCCCACAAAACATATGGATACATTCAGCATCTAAATTCACATAAAACAACAAAACTCTAAAGTGACTGATTCACATAAGTTCTTCAGACATTGAAAGTTCAGATGCTTTCTAGACGATAGCCCTTTGGCTTCATTTTGCACCAATGATTTTATCATCACCATGAATGCCCGTGGTAAAATTGAGTAAAGCTGCAAATAAAGTGCTATTTAATAGATACAGTCTCAAAATGCTCAGTGTCACAGTCTATTCTATTGTACTTATTCATATTCTGTACTAGCTAGGGAGATGTCCAATTCAGATAGAACGTGATGTTATTCAAATTAAGTAAAGCATTTATGTCTGGATGTAATGTATCTTCTATCTAAAATTAGATATGCATTTCCTCATTTATAAGAAAGTGTTAGAACTGCATTTTTCCATTTGCAACGACGCATTAAAATCAAAAAGTAACATTTAATAAAAGCTAAGGACATACATCTATTGCAAAATTTTGCTATGCGATTTCGACTTTATTTTCGGAATTATTGAAAATTGCGGGGCTTTTATTATAACCTTTTTATTCTTTTTTGATGATACATTTTTCTAATTTTATTAGATTTTTATTATTTTATCATTATTTTATTATCATTATCAATAAAATGCTTTCTTTTCATGCTAACATTATATTCCGCCTTTATTTTTGTTCTTTTGTTGAAAACTTATTAACTTATTAAAAGAATAGTACTACTTATCTATTTGGACAAATGACTGACCACAGATATATTATATATAAAACAAGAACTGTCGGAGGACAGTATTGGCTCGACTATTAAAATGTTGTCACAAGGGTGATTTATTGAGTATAATAATGCTAGTTACCTATGAATACATAAAATTGACTGAAAAGGTACACAGGCTTGTTATAAAGATGTTTTATCAAGTAAATCACTGCTTTATTATTATGAATGCATAAAAATGTCCCCAAAAAGGCACAAACTCTTCAGTAGTCATGCAGATAACAGCTTACAAGCAAAATTTTACTATGAATTTTTAAGTTGAAAAAGGGGAGAAAAATCAGCCTAAATGCAAGATAGAATTATTATGGATCTTGGTCAGTGACCTAAATGCAAGATAGAATTATTATGGATCTTGGTCAGTGACCTACAATTGTGATTCTAAATGCATATGTGAAGTTTTAAATAAATATCTTTAATAGTTATTGAGATATGTAATACTTGCATGTAAACATTAACCAATAGACTAAGTAGAAAAGGGGAGATGAATCAGCCTAAATGCGAGTAGAGTTATGGAACTTGGTCAGTGACATACAATTATGACTCTCCAATTATGACCCTAAGCATGTGTGTAAAGTTTCAAGTAAATATCTTTGAAGAACTTTAACCTAAATTTCTAAGTTATAATGGGGCATAATTCTGTAAATATTATAGGCAAAGTTTTATTCAACTTGTCAATATGATGAACATTGTTACTATAAATAAGTATTGTAAGTTTCAATTGAATATCTCAAGCAATAATTGAGATATTTGAATTTACAAAAACTTAAACCAAAATTTCTAAGTTAAAAAGGGGCATAATTCTGTCAATATTGTAGGCAGTGATATCCAACTTGTCAATCTGATGTATATTGTTACTATAAATAAGTATTGTAAGTTTCAATTGAATATCTAAAGCAGTAAATTAGAATTTTGAATTTACAAAAAACTTTAACCAAAATTTCTAAGTTAAAAAGGGGCATAATTCTGTCAATATTGTAGGCAGAGTTATCCAACTTGTCAATCTGATGTATATTGTTACTATAAATTAGTATTGTAAGTTTCATTTGATTATCTCAAGCAATAATTGAGATATTTGAATTTACAAAAAACTTTAACCAACGCAGACGCCGACGCTGACGCCGACGCCGACGCCGGGGCGACTAGAATAGCTCTCATTCTTCGCTTCGAATAGTCGAGCTAAAAACGCTAGTATATTTGGACAAATGACTGACAACAGATATATTATATATAAAAACGCAAGTAAGTGTTGTCAACACAACATTGATAAAAACAATGCGTTTTAAAACATCAACAAAATTAATTCTATAGCACCACATGTAACCATCTCATATAAATCATAACTATAATATGATTTTGCAACGAAGGCAATGAAGATCTGTTTTTCTCTCATCTTCACAATTAGCAATAAATTGTGTGTTCACCTCGTTATTCTTGGTTATGGCATTATGTTTAAATTATTACAAGAAAACAACCAGCTGCTTTTGATAGATTATTTGTTCATTGATTGCCGCAATGCACATCTGTGATTATTTGGTAATTTGATAATGTCTCTAAAACCATGAACGCAGAATGAAATTATTCTTAATCTTGCAACGATATATACACACTTCGCTATTTCTTCTGTGCAGCAAATCGACGCCTATACTTAATTAGTCATCTTATTTTTTAATCTTTAAAGTTCCATGTTCCAAGTTATTTGCTATTTAAACAAATCTTATTTTCCATTTCATTCATGAAAAGCATTATTTAAGGCCATCATAAATGTGTTATTTTAAAAATATTGATGTAATGATCGTGATCAGTTAATTCAGTAATTCCTTAATTGGTGGTGGAAACAAGGTGACTACTGATAATTGTTATAGAAATGTATTGGAATGTATTAAACAGTTATTGGAAAGTCAAATGGAATTTGAGTTGGTAATGATAAGAAAATGACATCTTTTTAAAAAAATATTTTTTCGCTTGATTCCAGTACTTTATGCTTTCGCCGATAAACAAACTTATAACATCAGTCAACACAAGTGCAGAAAACATAATTATTGATACGCGCCATCCTGTTCGTGCAAATGCTTTTCGTGATACAATCAGTTTTAATTAGTTTATAAACAGCTCAGAATATTTAAAATACACTACAGGAAAACTAAAATTAGTTAGATTTGTTAATCTTGTACAAAATGGTGCATATAGATAAAAGGTAGTTTCAACGCTTTGCAATGTTAGTAAACGTTTCATAGGTATCCGAGTTAAAAAGATTTTTCGTTATACTTGACTTGACTTGTAATTGAAATACTAAAAAGAGGGGCATATAAAATATTTAAACTTGAACCTACCTTAAAAATGTTCATAAAAATATCAGACAATATTGTAAAAATGTAACTATTTTTAATAACATTCATTCAATAACACATGTATTAACCTTCTTCCTTTCAGTGACTGTCCATTGCAGCATCCTCGAGGAATTCAACAAGCGTGGATCTATCTATACTTTCAATAGATATACCCAAACAGACATTATTACAAAGAGTGTCTTTATAGTTTTGAATCATGTAATTAACAAAAGAAGAAATCATGGATTACCCGAAGGGATTTTAGTGTTTATATCTATATAAATTAGGAGATACTATTTGGTTTTTAATGTGGCGTGTAAACTACGCAACAATGTCGGTACATAGAACAATTGTCATTGCTATAGACGACAGTTTCCATTCGGAATTCGCTTTCGATTGTAAGTTATTATTTGTTTTCTTGAAATCACACGAAAAAAATGCGAAAAAACAAAAAAGTTGTTTACATTGAAGAGAAAAAAAATGAAATTGATGCTCGGGGAAAAAAGATGTTCTTTATCACATTTACATGCAAGATATTGTTAGTAAAATCATATATGTTTGCTTGAAACAAAAAAAAAACTCAAAACGTGATGTTGAAGATGTAATTATTCCTGTGTACCGTATAATTACTAGCATAATATGAGTTATAATTTCCCTTATAAATCTCTGCTTTATGGTATTTAGGTGCCATTTCTGGCAATAAATGTCATGTTTTTGTTTCTTAAAGTCGTAAGCTTCTTACAAATCGTTATCTTATTCAAGAGATCTTGAGAAATGTATTCTGAAATTTGATAGAATGAAACAAACAGGATTTGAAATTCTATTCAAATGTAAGCCGTTATAAAGAAATGCATCAAAGCATTACCTATAATTTAAAGATCCTGTATGTTGTAATTAAGGTTGTTACCACACTTAAGTGAAATTTTATAACTATGCTTATAAAACAATTTTCAAACATCGAAGAATATGTAAAATATGTACGCAATTATTTGTGAACATTATACATGTATGTGATCATTAAAATACGAGTATATGCATTCATTTCTTATTGAAAAAAATGACTTAGACTTTATAGAAAAGAAATTTCTAATTACCTCCCTTTATTTACATGAAATGTTTAATTCGGTAATATCTTTATAAATAATGCTTTTTTGAACTTACAGTATTGATAAATCTTCATTTAAGCATCATATTTATGATATAAAACTATAAAAAATTGTGTAACAGGATCTTATAAAGAAAGAAAGAACCCAACGCCGTTATATATCGAAGTTTGTACACTTATAAAGTTCGGGCAATTTTCAACTTTAATAACGAGCAGTTAATCTATCTAACGCTGTGAATATTATGTTTTAAATTATCAACAGGGAAACATACATGTTACTTATTTCATAATAACGCATTATACTGGAAAAAAGAGAACGGACGGTAAAATTATCATTTTGATTTGAAAAAAAAATTCTTTCAATCAAAATCTACATTGTTTAAATCAATTTTTGGATGTATTTTTGTGTCAATTCGATCTTTAGTTGATGAACTGGTTTGTAAGACTTATTGTTAGCCATGCCCGAATAAAATATATTATAGATACATATGTATAATAACATTGAAGGTAAACACAGGTCATATCTGCAGTATAAAAGACATGTATTTTTTAAAAGTTTACTCGCTAATAAACAATGACAATATTAGAATAAATTTTAATTATCATATCATATATGCTGTAACAGGTTTTTACCTGTTGATACTGTTTGTTATTTAAGAAAAACAGTACATTTTAAAAAATAGATGCAAAATGATTTTAAAAATCTACCTGTCTTCTGTTCCTGGAAATTATATTAGTCATCTTTCTAATCGAATTAACCAGCAAGAACAGTTGTAACTTAAAAGCCAAGGACAAAAATAAATCACTTTTGTGCCAAATTAACAGCGACAAATTACAATCATTTGTTGTTCTTTTAATACATATAAATATAGTGTTGGTTTCTTTGTTTTATGATAACATTTATTATTTTGCTATAATTGCAGTTTATGTGGAAAATGTACATAAAAATGGAGACCGGCTAATTCTTGTTCATGTACCTGAGTATAGCAACGTATTATCAACATGTAAGTATACGTTAATTATTCATGTTTCCTTGTTACATGTATATCTCTGTTCTTCATTTAGATTTGGATTAATATAAGATATACATTAAAAGTTTACAATGAAATAGATTATAATGAAATGACATTTTTACATAACTTTTAAGTCATTCTTAACTAAGATGAATATTTTAAACTTCATTTTAGTTATATTTAGATATTGTCTATCTCTAAATATGATTTAATTTTTGTTTAACACACACTCCATAGTTGGACCAGGTAAATATACATATTTATTAATTAAATTTCTGGATAAATCATTGTATATGTTTTGCATGATATAATTCTTTAATTTGTTGTTGTCTTTATATCACGATTCTCAATATTGCAGACCGTCGCTTTATATGAGCAAATGCAGTGATCTGGTAAATTGGAATAACAAAAAAGCGCTTTTCTACTAGAATCTTAATAAACTGTCAATTTTCTTTTGAATTCAAACAATGTTCTATTTCAACTTAACAATTGGCTGTTATTAAATACTCACATTTGTTGTTAAATAAGTGGTTTTCATGTTATTTTAGTAAATAACAAGGAGATATTTATGTTTAACGGAATAAATTATACTTTTATGTAACGTTTTGTTTTCAAATGAAATTTTCTTCTCTATTCCAACTTTGTTTTCAAACTTGTATTGTTGACTTCAAGACTTTTATTGTGTGTATGGTGATAAAATATTCAATATGTTACTCGTAAAATATTCAATCTGTATAACAATACATTTTAGATTTGCTAAATTAGGCGTCAGTTAGATAGATTAATGTCTCTAACAAGAAAGTATTTGTATACAATTGTAGCACTTGTTTATTGGTAAAGACATCTATTTCTTGTTGTTCTTTTCTTCTTCAGCGTCGCTGTTGACTGATCCGAATATAGTGTCTGAACTTTTAAAAGATAACGAGGAAAGGGTTCGTGACCTTGTTGAGAAATATTCTATGAAAATGAAGGAATGTCACGTAAGGCACAGTTTGTCATTCTTAACACAGCGTCTAAATACTCAAATGTACATTGATTTCTAAAGAAGAAAATCAAACAAACACAAAAATTGTAAATTTGCAATTTTTAAGGAAAAAATTAAATTTTGAAAAAAGAAAAGGACGATGCAATTTAAAGGTAATAAAGACAGTTCTCGTACATACGTTTGTTCCTTAGAAAACATTAATGAGACTTTTTGATGATAGTTTTGACCTTTATGTTTCAGATATCAGAAACCTTTTCAAAAGTTAGTCAGTTTCTAAAGAAATTAAAAAGATGACGATTATATTTTATCAAGATAAAGATGTATGAATAAATGGATATTTCCACAATCTAAGTCAATTATTGGCAGTTTTTGTTCACATCTTAAGGAAAAATATTAACATCTCGAGAAAAAACATTTTTTGGAGGGGTACTTACGTTTGCCTAAATGAAAAAACCTCTCTTTTTTTAAAGTTAAGGGGGTCATGTAAAGAAACAAGGGGTGGAAAAACCGGGGGGAAAAAAAAGGGGGGAAAATTTGTAAAAGGCAACAAAAAAAAGGGGGGTGAAAATCAAGTTGAAAAGGGAAAAAGGGGGGAAGGGGTTTTTAATCAGAAAAAACTTTTCCCCGGAAGGGGTGGGAGTTAAATTTGCTTACCATAGGGCAGACGCCCCTTTTTTTTTAGTGGGGCCAAATAAACCTCTTTTAAAAAAAAACGAGTGATCATTATTAAATAAAAAGGTGGCTCTTTTAAATATGAATATCCTTTTAAAAAACTGATAGCTATACTGACACGGTTTTAAAATAAAAATTCGTTTTTTAAAGGGATATAAAACCCCAACTGAAGGGGTAAAAATGGTTGGGGTCTGTTCATCCTGAAATTTCCCAACAAAAAAAATTTTAAATTTTTCCCCATTTGTGTGTAAAAAATTCATTTAAAATTCTGAAATGATAGGGTGCAAAACGGGAAAAATTAAATTTAAAAAAAGTTTTGGGGAGAAAGGTGTAAAATTCCCTTAAAAATAACAAAATGGATTGATAATCCCTTTAGAATAAAGGGCAAGTAAAAAGACATATTTTTTGAAAGAAAAGACAAAATTTATGCCTTTTTTAACTGCCCACCGTGAAAAGACCAAATTTCATTTTTTTTAAATTTTTTTTAAATTTTCAAAATTTTTAACATTATAAATTTTTGAAATCATGGGGCTTTCAGGGGTTTAGCTTTTTTCAGATTTTTTGTTATTAAATAAAAAAATAAATTTTTCAAAAGGGTTGAGGTTGATTAAAAAGCCGTTTTAAATTTAAAAATGAACCCAAAACCTTAAATTTTGTGAGTTATATTTTTTAATTCAAAAGAAGATTTTCAATATTAAGATGATTGTTTTATAAATATATATTTAAATGCAGTTTAGTAAAATTGCACATTTCATAAGGTGGGAACTTTCTTGTTAACATCGTTATAGTAAAGCTACGTAATTTATTTGTAAACATAAAAATATCTTGACCCTGAATTTAAATTGTTAAGTCTGATTTTAGAACGTTATATGAGGATTACAGTTCAAAAACGGAAATATACACTTTCGTAAAATGAATTCTGAGTAAAAATGGATTAACGTTAGTAGAGCTTTTATTGAAAAGAACGGTTACAGTATATGTCTGCTTTTAGAATAAGTAACTTAAGTGTCTTTTATATAAACGAAAATGTAGACTCTTCGAATAAGATAACTAGATGTCAATTACAGTGAAAGTTAAGTTATGTAATACGGTTTATTGAAAGTGTGTTTCTATAAAGGAGGATGTTTTGTTCCACTACTTTATTGCTGAAAAAATTATTTATAAGTACTAAATTCTTGTATTTAAAAATAAGTAAAATAATTTGACGGAACAAGTTTTCAAAAGTGCATAAAACTTAATCAAAAGATAAAATTTTTTGATATATCGTATGTTTTATTTATCATCAAGAGAATAAACCAAGTAGTACATGCTGTTTAAATATTTATATTCTAATTGTTGATCAAATATAGTTTCAATGCAAATTGTTCCTAATAACGTCCAGAGCTAACAAAGCAATACAAATATATTCAAAGAGCATCAGATATTCAAGAATGCAAGACAATAAATGAGAGATAGGGGGTCAAAGGAATGAATGGTTGCGACAGTATCAGTGTATCAACACTCGGCTCCTAAAGGTAAGGAAATCGAATGATTTGACGATTTAAATTTGAAAAATATAAAAAACCCTCTCGATTTTGGGAAAATTTCCAAAAAAAAAAAAACAAAATTTTCAGTTTTGGGAAAAAGGCACTTGGGGGTTGGCGTTTTTAAATATAATTACATTGTAAAAGTAAAAATTTTTCTTTTTACCTGGGGAAAAAAATCCCCTTTTTATGGCATTTTAGTGCCCGTTCCTAACCCGGGGAAATTGTAATGTTTTTCCCTTTTTACTAACTAAAAAACTAGCGCTTAACTTCTGTCTTTAAGGGGGGGAATATATAAATAAAAATGTATGAACAAATAAAACAAAAATTTAACTTTATTAAAAAATTAGATATTTTAAATTGACAAAAATTCTTTTAAAAAATTTAACTTTTCCTTTTAACAATAGACAAAATTAAGGGTTATCTGAGACGTCATATTTTACTGGGACAAATTAAAAGAAATCATATTAAACAACTATATCGTTTTGTTAGAAGGCTATTTGCTAGTTGAATAATATATGATAAAAGCAGCAAGTGAACAAACGAAAATGAAGAAAACAAAACAACCACAGAAAAGCAAAAAATTAAAATGAATGTCATTTATTATAAAATTCAATGCAATATTTTCTATATTTAACAGGATAAAAGAATGTCTCTAAAATAAATATAGCCTGTTGATATATTTATATGTTCCTATTTTATAGTCTCATTATCTTGACTTTCCATCAAGTTCTTTGGCTATTGAAAAACGTTACATATAAGCTAAGTATTTACTATGTTAGATCTTGTTATTGGCCTAGAATACATGTACATAGTGATTTACTTTATGATATTAAAACTGAAGCACCGTTGGCAATTGATACGAAAAATTGGGTCTGATCTTTCTAAAATAATAATGTAATACTTCGTGATGTTGAAAAGGAAATCCCCGCAAAAATAAAGAATTGTCATTTAATGCATCGTAAGAATATGTTACAGTTGTCTTTTATGTTCTTAATACGTAAGACCTTCGGATAAACTTAAAACACTATAAAAGATGGAGCAAAGATCAGATGCGATATTAAAATGCATCTTGTGCTTGATATTTACGAAGCTGGCAATACTATTGACCTTTAAGTCAGATGTTATGATGTTGTACTTTTGTATGAAAAAGTTTTACACTGTCCTACATATTTTTGCAGCACACATACTATTAACTTATTTTCTACAAATAGTATCTGTATTTCTAATATTTCGTAGACTTTTTGATTCCCTTCTATCAATATTTAGCTCTTGATAGGCCGTTAAATTGATTAATGTCTAGTGTAATTTACCGTACATATTCTTATAATCTATAAACAGATATTTTCATTTTGTATTTTCTTGGGGAAAAACGTTATTTAAAAGTACAGTCGATATTAAAAGCTAGTAAAGGAGACAAAAGAGAGTCAGAAAGGGAAAAGTATTTTCGGTTTCGGATCTATAGCAAATTGTGACACTTCACCTTATTCAAAGAAGGAAAGTATTGAATAATATCAAGTGAGATGAAGTTTATTTCCACACCTTTGCATTTTGCTGAATGTCTCAATTAATGGCCAAGTTAATTACGATTATCATTAATTCAAACTAGTCGGCAATAGGATGAAGATATGCAAATATGATTTATTTATTTTCTGGTGTTATTTTCTAAATTAAGTGATCAGCTGATATTTTCATCGTTGTTTTAAATTATTATTGTTATTATTATATATACTTTCATCAACTTCTTATATAAGTTTAAGTATATTGCATACAAAATAATATTAAGATTTGGAAAATATTACTATCAGAAAAAGATGATAAAAATGAATCTGTTAAAAGGTTAATTTGAATTAAGTTATAATGCGGTTAGATATTTTTATTATATACATTGTAATAGTTAGTAAGTCGTTTAAAAACAATGAGAAAGTAGATAAATAAATAAATGAGTCAAAAAGACTAACACTTCATTAAACTTGGCATTCTCAGTTAGTTGAGCATCACGTTTAAAAAAATATATTGATGCACAAATAAGTTAAAGTAGTTGTTTTTTTTTAACTTTCTAAGAAGATGTATTTCTTTGCAGTGCTGCAAAGCACACCGACTGTGCATGAAACACAATCAATTTAGATATTTTTGTTTTATTTCCTTTTATCGCGTTAAAATGATTTAACATCAGTATCTTCAATGAAATTTAAATACCTATTCCGTCAAGTGCCGTATGAAATGACCAGAGTCTAGTGCTTCATCTTGGTTATTTTTGGTTTCAATGCGATGAACATCTGTGTCCAAATTTTCCTGCTGGGAAGGTTGTGTTTGACTTATTGATTGATATTGATTAGCTGCATTTTTTTACTTTACCTTGTTGATATTTTAAATAATGTTATTGTTTTCAAACTACTGTCTTCCACAGAAAAACTTTAAAATGCTATAATTGTATTTTAGATATTATAATATTAAAACGTATTATGCATTATATACGATCTTTGATTCACAAAGAGTATTAATATATATCCTTATTATGCTGTTCAATGACCCATTAATAATACTAAATGGAAGAAATGAGCTGACATCCGAGAGAAATCTTCTGAAACAGCAGGTCGATATCATGATCTTAACGATTCAGTTTTATTCTATAATTTCAGGAAATTAAAACTGCAAAGTTTCTCAGAGGTCATGATGCTAATCTATCATTGTCATTTTGATCATATTAAAAACTGACCATGTGTGATTGTATGGTCGCCTTCCGTTTATTATTGTCAAGCAATTTAAAATGATTTATTTTACTATATAAAGTGTATAA